TTATGATATTGTCACGGTAATTAATTGTGACTAAACAATTAATCACGGAAAATGAAAACTAAAAAACTTGAAATCTATTCCCGTGATTAGAACTATATAATCAATTACTGTAATTTTTCCTGTGACTAGTAGTATACGTCTTAGTACGGGAAAACTTACCGTGAATAAGTTACTGTGACTGAAAATCAGTTTTCCTGTAATGAAGTGGGAAAGTTTGGTTCTTTTGATTATGAAAATGAAATAAGTATAAAGTATATGGTCAGGGTAGGGTGTATATGGTTAGTGTATAAGAATTGATGGTTTTGACGGTTCTAAGTTTTTTATTAACATATGTTCACTTGAAGTCATTTGAAGTCTTTAACGGCAGGAGATCCCTTTTCAATTTATGTTTATGGTACGTGGCTACGGTACAAGGTATGTGGTGTAAAGTATAGGATATATGGTTAGGATATATCAATTAGCAAATATCACTTTTTATCTATGTTTTGAAAATCAAAGTATGAATTTCACTTTTAAATTAACTATACTAACAAAATCATACCTCAAGGACATATGGTTAGAGTATAGGGTATGTGGGTAGTGTATAATGTATTGATGAGCCAACAATTGTACTAAACTTGATAAGTAATTTTTGACGTTTCATTGTTTAGGGTATAAAATATATAGTCAGGGTATAGGGCATAAGGTACAGATGGTTTAGAGTGTATACAGTTAGGGTATAATGTAGTGATGGTTTTGACGGTTCTAAATTTTTTAATAACATATGTTCACTTGAAGTCATTTAAAATATTTAACATCAAGAGATCCCTTTTTAATTTATGTTTATGGTACGTGGTTAGGATACAGGGTATATGGTATATGGTGTAGAGTATAGGATATATGGTTACGGCAAATATCACTTTTTTATCTATGTTTTGAAAATAAAAGTATGAATTTCACTTCAAATTAACTATACTACCAAATCACAACTCATAGGGATATATGGTTAGGGTATAGGGTATGTTGTTAGTGTATAATATATTGATGGTTTAGGGTGTACGATCAACAACATATATTAACTTAATATTGTCGATTGAGAGTAAGACTAAGTGTATATGATATATGTTATTGAGTAAATTATGATTGAAGTAACAACAATTTTACATGGTTATTCTAAACGAGATATTATAATCCAATTACTACTGAAATAATATTAAAATACTAAATAACATTAATGGTGTCTTTTGGTTGCAAATGTTGATAAAACCATTACTATTAGCTAGTGTACTTTACCAATTATGATTAATTACATAACAAGTTTGCAAGTAGAGGTGGCAATTATGATCCAAATCCATGAATCCAATCCAATCCATCCACCAAATTATCCACCTAATCCAATCCATTTAAATCCAATCCATTTGATCCAAATCCAATTGGATTGGTGGATTCATGGATCAATCCATGGATCCAAATGGCAAATTACAATTTGGTACCTATATTTTTTATATTTTACATTTTGGTACCTAAAATTTATATTTTTATACGAAAAATATCATTGGAAAATTACATTTTGGTACCTAAAATTTTTCATTATGACATTTTAGTACCTAAACTTTTCAAAATTTACATTTTGGTCCAAGCCATGGATGTCATTTTGGATTCATGGATCAATCCACCAATCCATTTGATCCAATCCATGAATCCACCAATCCATTGGATCCAATCCATTTGATCCATGGATCCACCAATCCAATCCGCGAATCCACGAATCCGATCCAATTGCCACCTCTATTTGCAAGTCATATAAATTGATTAAACATTTTGACTAGTTTTTTTAAAATTAAGTATATATAAGAGGTAGAAAGAAATTGGTTAAAAATTGACAAAATTAAATATTTTAAATTAGTGTAATAAAATGTGTAAGTTGGTAACAAGTAACAAGTAAGGAGTAAGTTACTCGATGCGCTGACCCGAACAACCCGCAACCCGATCCGCCCGCAACCCGCCCGACTCAAACCCAATGAACCCGTAACCCGATTTGTCCGCAACCCGATTGAACCCGAACCCGATGAACCCGCAACCCGACTAACCCGCAACCCGTTTGAACCCGAACCCGATGAACCCGAACCCGATGAACCCGCAACCCGATGAACCCGCAACCCGTTTGAACCCGAACCCGATTGAACCCAGCCCGAACCCGCCCGAACCCGCCCGATTGACACCTATAGTTATAATTAAGACTACCATTCCATGCTCATTACAAAAAGCATACTAACTGATACACTACCATAATAAACACCAACTAGCTTGAATGTACCTCAATTTGTAAATATTTGCAAGCCATGTGTGACCCTCTGGACCTTTTTCCGGGAAAAAATTATCAATCATTCTCTTCCACACATGCTCGAATTCATCCTCGGTCTCCACATTGAACATTAGTATGTTCACCTCCGCTTTCAGGCCCGACTTATACACAGATGGTCCCATATTTGTCAAGCCATTCTGGTGGATATGAAATGTGCAGAGTCCATGAAACGACGAAGGGAACTGGTCCCGGATTCCACAAGCTATAGCTTTTGCCTGGTCAGTGAAGATGGATTTCGGGTGTTTGTTTGCCATGCATGTCAGAAAGGTATTGAACAACCACGAGAATGTCTCCGCTGTTTCATCGTATAGAAGTGCACCCCCGAAAATACACAACTCCCTATGGTTGTTAAAGCCAACAAACAATGCTACACACACAAATTCAAATGTCAATGGTAATACAATTATTTACGAACATGAAGGTACCTAGAAACATGTCAAGGCTTACCTAAAGGCCTATAGTTTAGGTTGGTTCTATAGGTAGTGTCAAAGCTGATCGCATCTCCAAAACACTCGTAATCCAAACGCATCTTCCCATCCGCAAAAAATATACCTGCAATCTCGTCGTTAATATCTACCTGCATATCGTAAAAATATAATGGGTCCTTCCTTGCTCTCTTCATGAAATACCGATGCAGCACGGTTGCCTCCCCGGGCTCCATGCTCCCGGTCCTCGCTTTCTGTATGCAGTTTTTCAGGTCAGTTTGTAGAAATCCAAGATTCTCCTTCCCCCCAGCTGTCGCGGCAAATGAAGCATAGCTGCTTCGCACAGAAATACCGGCATCATCATTGAGTTTTGCATAATATGCAAACTCCTCACTAACGTCTCTCATCGTACGGATAAACCGTTTTGTTCTCTTAGTGTGGAGTTCGTGATTATGGACGTCCTTCCATTGATATATCTCATATTTTCCACTACTATGTTCGTAACGGCACCTAGCCAAAGCTTTACATCCAAAGCGAGTCTCGCCCCTCTTCCTCTTCTTATTAGGTTCTGTGTCTACCACATGACCAACATTCTTTGGATCCAGCGTGCTCCCTGTTTTGAACCCTTCTTTGTTGCACCGTGCTCCAAAGTAAAACACCTTCCGTTCCTTAAGATATTTGGGTTTTCGAGTCTGTGCTCCAATACGTCTTACTCCAAAACCCCTCCAGTGTGCGAAGTCTTTGTAGAACTTGACAAATGCTTCCCTATTTTCAAATCTCAAATGCTGCCATGTCAATTTGTCGGCCGGGACAACTTTATACACCTGATCTGCAATTCGTAAATCAACAATTATTCACTACCATTCCAATAACTCATACTACAACTAACAAAGCACTACCATTTGTTCCAAATATGCCAAAAAATAACTACCATTGTAGTAGCTACTACAAAAAACAGAACCAATACCAATCCAATCAAAAAACTACCAATGCGATACGAACTACCAAAATCAAATCCCAACATATACCAATGTAAGGACTACCATTATTCCAAAACAATTACGTAACAATACCAATCCGAAACATGCATGCAGAAAACTACCACTCCATGAAAGGACTACCACTGCATGCAAGGACTACCACTGCATGGAAAAATTCACCTTGGCCTTCGTCGGAATTGTCACAAGCATCGCCTACAAAGCCTTCTTCCACATATTGATCTCCGACGATACCAGACCCTGTGCAAGGATTTCAGACCAAAAGGGATGTTAATTTTTGGCCGTTCAAGCAAAAGCATACAATCATGAATGGTTTAGATACTTACCGTCGTCGCTTTGGATCCCCATATCCTCTTCCTCGCCACCAGAAATAGGACTTTCTCCAAACAACACTTCCATTGCCATCCTTCTACGCTCCACCACATCAGGCGATGATGCAACGTCGGTGGTCGCCATTGAAGCAACGTCGGCAGGCGCCATTGAAGCAACGGAGGCGGTCGGCGATGATGCAACTTCACTCTGTCCACGGCGGCAGAACTACAGAATAGTGGACTTCGAACGGGGAGAGGTTACGCCGGCCGAAAAACTTGCCATTCAAAAAACCCTACGGTGATTCAAAAAACTACCTAATAATTAATTATAGTAATTATCTCTTACTAATTAATTGCATAATTAAAATGGTAGTTTTAATTAGGATGGAAGCAAAATACCCTTCTTATCCCTAGTAACCACCATGGTTACTACCACTAGGTATCCACCATAACCTCTCCCGATAAAAGTTGAAAACGATGCAGGGACAAAATCTATAAAAAAAAAATTATGAACGTAGGCTTTTCAGAAATGTCATAATTAACCAACCTCGAGTCGCGAACCACTGCCACCATAACTAGCTAGTCTTTATTAACCGAATGTGCAACATTCTGGTTCTGATCAACAAACCTGATCAAACCACACGAATCGTGTAGTCCGAAAGTACACGATCCGATGCGGATCAAACCATTGCGCACTGCACACTCTTAAACGAAGTTCATAAGAGTGAATTAAAACAAGATCCTTTATTCCCTCCAAGAGTTGACCAAACCAGCTTATAATCAAACCCATCCAACCACCACTACCACCGCCGCCGCCACCCTCATCTCTCTTCTTCAACCTCGACAAGGAAACATTAGACTGAGTGTAGGCTGCTACTTCAAAACTGGCGGAACAGTGATTATTCACCTCCTTGATCCCAAGATGCTTAAGATGCTTGATCTGGGGATTAAACGCATTGAGCTCCCCTTTTTGGGTCACCGAATAGTAGTATCCATCCTTCCGAACTCCAGGGACACAGGAGGCGACATTCTCCAACCTCAGACATCTAAACACAGGGCACATCAAATCATTTCACACGACATGCAACTCCATCCAGTTGCCGCCTGCTACTACTGCAACTGCTTCCTGATCGTTTCTATTTGCCACGTGCTTGGTGTAGTTCAACAGCCCCCAGATATGAAACGTCGCAAGGGGGAAATCGCATCGCCATGCACCGGAACCGAAGGCCATAGCCAGCAGGCACTTCTGTTTCAGCATGTGAAGCATTATGGCGAGCTCGCCGTCGTGATTGTACCACATATCGTTCTTCATAAATTCTGTAGGCAGCCCGAGGATCGACTCGACTTCTCGAATGCCTTCTTGATCAAGTCAAAACTCATAATGTAGCATTTCTGCCTGTAGCTGGACCGACCGATGAGCTTATAGGATCCAGCGGCAAAGGGTATAGGGGAATTGTAGACGTTGTGCCGATACTTGTTTGTTCTAAGCTTCGTCCACTTGTCATCCCTCAGGCTGAAAATCCAAGTAGAAATCTTGGAAGAATTAGCGGAATAGCTAAACTGATGGTACTTGTGTTTTTTGTCGACCGGAGGTCGTTTACTTTCCTTGAACCAGCTATGAGTGACTACAATTTTGTAGTCACTCGTATTGGGATCGAAACCAAAGGCAATGTATTCCTCTAACTTGAACGTAGGAGAAGAAGGAGAAGGAGGACGTAGAGGACGAGAAGGAAGCGACGGCAGCGGCTTTGCCTCGCCGATGGTGGGGTTCCACAGAATTAGATCCGAGGGAGCAGTCAGACGATCGATTCTTCGTTGAGTACTGCTTATGCACAGGATCCCATCACAACTCCCGATAATAATCGAATCGGGATCGACCTTAACCTCGGGTGGCAAATAACCACCACAATCAACACCGCATTTTAATGGCTCGAGCGTGTCGTAAGAGATATCGAAGAGTATATCATTCCACTTCCTTAATCTTCCCCATGGCTGATCAAGGTAGGATCTTCGAGCCCATGGATATTGTGCATCACGATAATTAGTCGGGTACTAGTGACATGATCGAAAGAGAGATAGTTGTGAATGAAATCGAGGTGGGACAGAATTCGATACCATGATTTGCTGAGACAGCGCAATCTAACGATACAAGAACCATGATCCACCCTCTTGAAGATATCAATCACTAGTTCATGAGGAAACCAGCTAATATTTATGATGCTATTATCCCTCCTCTTTTCTATAATACCATAATAATAATAATAATCTATCTCCTTGTTGGTATTTTGGTCATGATCATCGTCGTCATTGCTATTCTCTTCTTCATCACTTCTTTTCACTTTGATTGCATCCTTTTTTCCCCATCCTTTTGCTTCAACGGGTCGTTTGGATGTAGTATTTTGATGAGTTAATTTGGTCGAAATAACTCATAATGAGGTATTTCAATCAAAATAACCCGTTTGGCAAAAATAAAGTAGAATATGGTATTTTGTCCATGAGTCAATTGAAATAACTCATTGTGAGTTATTTGAAATACCTACCCACCCCCTAGTTATTTCAAATACCTCATCTCCCAACTTCTTTTTCCACTTCATCCCTTCTTTAAGTGGTGAAATACCACAATATTTGAATGTTTTATCCAAACAAGGCAATTACACCAATTACCACATTTCAAAATGAAATACCACATGAAATGCCACATAACAAAATAATGCATCATTTGAATTCGAAATACCATAGAACCAAAATGATGCATCCAAATTCCAAACGACCCGTTGTGTTGATGTACTCGTGCTACCTCCCATGGTATGGTACTATGGTGTTGTATTGGATTTCCCCCCAATAAAATGATACATGAAGAATAATGACCCTCCTCCACGTAGGAACCGATCTTTCATTATCGATTTTTTTCTTACTTTTACCAATTATATTGCAAATAAAGTCCCACCATATTTGGCTTTACTCCACCAGATTTTGCTATTCAAGTTGTGAGTAAATAGTTAATTAATAAAACTCATACTCTTTTTTTTTTAAATGGTGAAATCATTTTTTTTTTTGTGGGAGGCGAAATCATTTATCAAAGGATGGGATCCCTTCACAAGCTCACTTCCCACCTTACAGCCGTCCATCCCTTCACAAGGAATCAAGACATCAAGTTAGGTTTGATAGCAAGATGACGGGGGTACCAAGTCGATGATGATAGACTTGTTGACAAGTTGGTAAGATTGTCTTGCTGGCAAGGTGGCAGTGTTAGAAACAAGAATTCCCGATTGGGAAATTAGGGATTGAGAAGAGAAGAATTTAGGGATTTGGAAAAATTGGGGAAGAACAAGAGAGAGAAAGAAGTGATTAGGGATTGGAGTTTCTAATTATTATTGCTTAATTTCCCAAAAATAATGATCTGAATCCTTAAGTAGTAGTAAACCGAAATAATGCAAATTAAAAGGCTTCCACTCCTTTCTTAGCCGAGTTCGGCCACCCGTGGCCGGGTTTCCCACAGGCAGGGTATCATGCCAATGAGACGGGTTTGGTCCTAAGACAACAAGTTAGTATCATGACAAACTCTCTAAGACTAAGTGTACAGGCTTATTGGCTTGTGATGGGGGGGGGGGGGGGGGGGGGGGGGGGGGGGGGGGGGAGACTTAGCTAACAAGATGTTGTGGCTAAAGTGGTTAGCAAGAGAGTCCAACAATGAAACTAAGTTTGGAGCCAAGGCAAATGGATCGACCCCATTTAGTTAGGCCTAGGTGGCTAAACGTGAATGTAGTTCAAGTCAACACCAATCAGTTCCGCCGTTAGCTATAAATAGGAGAAACAAAGACGGGAAAATAGTTTACAAAATCACAACTTTGACACACAATCCAAGTTTATCATTTTCTCTGTAAAGTAACCATATGTGTAGTCTCTATAGCTCTCACCCAACCTTGACCTTTGGAGGAGTAACTTAAGGTAGGTTGTTCTAAAAACAATAAAAAAATCACACTGTGATTCAAAAATTGTTCGAACAAGTGTGAAATGTGTAATTAATTGTGGTTAAAAAATGTCTAAGTGCATCCGTTGATGTTCAAACGAAAAATTTCTCGCAAAAAAAAAACCAGCTCTAAATTCGATACGATCTGAACCAAACTAATATTTCCATGACTAAGATCCAATTATATTCTACCCAGACTCCGCATACAATCCCATGCTCGAAGCTCAACCAACTCTTCCACCTTCAACTCGATTTCACCTGTATGAAACAACCATTATAAATTGCGCTTTTAAGGCTCAAAATTGGTCAGTCTCACAGAATCAAACCCTTCGAGAAGCTCTAGAGATACTGATCACAATCTCTGCAAACTGCACAGATCATGTTATATTTCATATAACACCTGTACAACCAAACACATTTGACTGGTCAAATTCAGCACTTTCCCTGGTTCTTCACTAATGAGGACCAAAAATTAATATATAGCACAATCTGATATCTAACCATAATAGCTAACCACTCCCCAAATAATCAATTTATGTCAACTGCGACTTTCTGAGTTTACTGAAAATCCCTTGGCCCAAAATAATAAGCCCTCTTTTCAAATGTGTCTTAGGAACCGAACCTCCAATCAGGAGCTTTGGCGGGGCGGGCGCTTTGGATTCCAACGTCAACGCCCTCGACCGAAAGGAAAATAGAAAACGAGAAAAAAAATAAAAAAATTCACACGAGGAGTCGTTGGGTGAAACGTCTCCGTCAAACCTCCGTGGTTCCGGCCCCAGCAATTTCAAAACCCAGACAGAAAACGACAAAACCCGCGAAGATTAAAGAAAAAGGAGTAAATTTTTTTTTAAAAGAGTTGTCTTCTCATCTGAGGAACGAGAAGCCCCACGCCAGTACCCGAATACAGACGGCCATGGTTGGCGGTTATATCCATCCCTTTCTTCCCTCCCATTTTCCTCTCCCTTTCTCTTTCCTCCCTCCTCTTCTCCTCTCTGTTCATGTTCCTCTCCTCCCATGGCTGGCACCGGCGACGACGGCGTCGTCGATGATAACGACTCCCCGCTCTCCCCGCCGGACGACCTGCGCTGCGAACGAGGTGCAGGCGAGAAAGAAGAAGAGGAAGAAGAAGACGATGTGGATGATTACGAGGCGGAGCTGTTCGCCGGCGTCCGTTTGGCGGATGCTCCCATACTGTTTCTTCTCTGCTTCCACAAGGCTTTCCGTCGGGAGCTAGCGCAGCTCTGTCGGATAGCTGTTTCGGCTTCCCGGAGTAGGAGCTCGTGTGGAGGAGACGCGATTACTGAGCTGCGATCCAGATTCGAGTTCCTCAAACTTGCCTACGACTATCATTGCGGCGCCGAAGACCAGGTTTACTCTCTTTTCCTTCTCTTCCCCTTTCCGACTTTCTATTCCGCTAGCTCTGGAGGCTGAGAAACTTCCCCGGGATGAAATAATTGGCAAAATTGATAATCGAATTGAATGCGTTGACTTCAGTTTTACTTGATTGTCTACTACTTGGCACCAAAAGAGAGAATCTCCGATGGAGAATTCGCTTTTAGCTTCACTTTTCCTTCCCTGCGGGAGAACCGAAAGAATGCGATTCCACCAGGCAATCTGAATACTACGCTTTATGTGCCCTGTGCTGAATTTTGGTTCCCTTGTATGATAGCCAAATATGGAAGAGATGGATACTATTATTAGTTAATATACTTAGTTTACGCTTTTGTTGGGGTAGTGCTCCATTAACACAGTCCACTTTTTCTCTGGTTTGATTACTGGTCGATTCTTTTCTTGTCAGGGAAACTGGTGTGCTATAGCTTTTAAGAACAAGGTCCACCACAACGTGTAGTCCATACTATTTGTTTTGTGTTTTTGGAATTGGGTATATACTGATTGCCTGAAGATGAATTTTCTAATGCAGGTTATCTTCCTAGCGTTAGATGTCCACGTTAAGAACGTTGTGTGTGCGTATTCACTTGAACACAAAAGCATCGATGACTTATTCGACTCTGTCTCCCGTTGCTTGAAAGTGCTGACGGAGGAAAAGAGTTGTGATTCTGAGCCAATTCAAGAACTGGTCACTTGCATCACCACAATTCACTCCTCCATATGCCAGCATATGCTTAAAGAAGAAAAACAGGTGATACTTTAACTACAGCTCACAACTACTTTTGTAGGTTAGTTTTACTTGCTAAACTACTGTCTTAGTGTCTTGTTATTGGATTGATCCCATTCTGTTGATCTGGGTACATATTGCGAGGCTTTTATCAAGTTTTGTTGTGTGTGTGTGGATATATGTGTCATCACTTCTCTTTTAGTTCTACATCTGTCCAAAACTAGAAAGAACTATGCTACACTAAGTACAGCCTTACAACCCTTGATGAATGTTACCCTCAAACTTTCTTACTAACTTCACAGGTGACAGGTGTAGTGGTTTAAATCACTGGACAGGTACATATTCATCAGGGAAATTTGAATGACGTCACGACTAGCTCTTTCTATGTTGTAACTTCCGGCTGCACCCCAAATGACCAGCTGATGTCTGGATTTCTTTGGTGTTCAGAACTTTGTGTGGTTTCATTTTCACTCTTTCTTATTTTGATGACACTTTGAAGAATGGAACCGTCAATAGTTATATGAGTTGCAATAAGTATGATCCCTGGAAATTCCGGATAAGGGCCTCGTTGACGAATGCTACACATGGAATTTCTAAGTATTTTACACTTCAGACTTATACTCTCTTTGTTAGATTGTGACAAGGTAATTTATGTGTGGTTGCAGATGTTTCCTTTGCTTGTGGAACGGTTCTCTCCTGTAGAACAGGCTTCACTTGTGTGGCAATTCCTTTGCAGTATTCCTGTAATTTTACTGGAGGATTTGCTGCCGTGGATGATCTCTCTTTCTCCTGAAAACCACATTGATGTTGCTCTGTGCATTAAAGAAATTGTACCTGAGGGATCACTCCAAGAGGTATAGCCTAACTAATTCTCACCCTGTATATATTTATCCAATCCCCTTCTAGTGATTACTTCTAGTTGTTTTCGAAGGTAGTGATTTCTTGGCTCCGGATACACGATCAATTCCCTTGGGATTCGACCAAGCCAGCCAGGAGAGGCGATGATGGATTTACGTATGTTAAACATATGCCACAGCTGATCTTCTCTGCTGGATGTTTGCAAGAAAATTGGCAATGGAAGACCACATATTCTGTCCCTGACAAAATAGAGCACAGTGTTACTGATTGTTTCCGTCTCTGGCATGGTGTGATTATGAAGTCACTAAAAGAAATTCTTGAAGAAATATACCAAACGAGATTGGGAAGTTTATTAGAAACAGACCCAATTGTCGTGAGGCTGAAATTCCTTGCCGATGTAGTTACCTTCTACAGGTACCTAGAATTGTTGCTGCCTGCTACTTTCACTTCTTGTTAACGATCCCTAAAGCTGTCTGATTTTGCTTTATTCCTATGGTGAAAATCTGCTGTTGTCCTCCTAAATATCCTTCTTGTTGGTTTGTTTTCTACTGTCAACCAGCAATGCGCTGAAGAAGTTCTTCGATCCCATGTTAAATAGACTGGCCAGTGACCACTTCAGTGGCTTATATGGTGACCAATTCCCTGCTGGAAGTCACTTGGAGAGAATACAGCAGTTGCTCCATTTCAATACTCAGAAGATTTTGGCTGGACATGAGTTTGTGGAGAAGCTTTGCCAGGAAATGGAGTCCTTTGCCGTTGAAGTCAGCAAACAATTTAACTTTCTAGAAGAAAAGGTATTTTGGTTTAAAGTTTTAGTTATTACAAAGCCATTGCCAACTGTGAGCTGAAAGCTTTCATTTTGATCAGGTATTCCCCCTTATAGTCCAGAACTGTGACCCAGAAATGCAGCTGCAGCTCTTTCTGTACATGAGCTTTGGTATGATGCCTCTAGGCTTACTAAAGTTTGTAATCACTTGGTTTGCAGCCTGTCTGTCCAAACATGAGTTGGGCCCTATTCTCCAAGGCTTGAAACAAGGTGACAATTTGGCCAATAAATCCTTTCTGTCCCTCTTGCATGAGTGGTTGCTCATTGGTTATTCTGGTAAATTCTCAATTGAGGATTTTAGAAAGGACTTGCAGAGAATGTTTGAGTCTAGATGTTCATTTGCACCTGAAAGATCAAAGGAAGATGTTAGGTGCTCTTTCTTGCCCTTAGACTTGCAACCTTGTGAAGCATCTGACCATGATAAAACAGAGTCGATTTCTCTTTATGAGAACAAAATCTTCTCTTCGTATTCCTTATCTTCTGGTTTTAACCAAGCCAAGACTTGCGGAGCAAGTTATTCTAGAGAGATCAACCTACATGTATTTTTCCCTCAAACAGCAAGGTTAACAAAACCTTTTCCAAGATTACCTGGTGAGGAGAGTTCCAGAGCTTCCAGCATGGATGAGGCAATGCCTTTGGACTTTTTTCTTTTGTTCCACAAGCCATTGAAGAAAGACATGGAAAAGCTTGTCCTTTATTCTGCTCAATTGGCTGGAAACTTTGGACTCCTAACAGAATTCTGCCAGCACTTCAACCTCTTGCAGAACAGATATAAGTTCCATAGTGATGCTGAGGATGAATGGATCTTTCCAATGCTCGAGGCAAAGGGAAAATCTAAAAATATTAGTCACTCCTACACCATTGATCACAAGCTGGAAGTTGAAAACTTTCAAAGAGTTTCCATCATATTAGAAGAGATCTCTGGCTTGCAGATGACAGTTTCTGTTATCAACACTCACAAGCAGGATCGGAGAATAATGAGGCGGAATCAACTGTGTCTGAAACTCCAGCGTAGGTGCAAGTCTATTAAAAAATTACTGTCTGATCATGTTCATCATGAAGAAATTGAAATATGGCCAGTTATTAAGGAATGTTTGACAATCAAAGAGCAAGAAATCATTATAGCAAGTATGCTGGGAAGAACTAGAGCCGAAACGTTGCAAGACATGATACCATGGCTGGTCAACTCTCTAAAACCAGAAGAGCAACTAATGGTGATGTCCTTGTTGCGTAAGGTCACAAAGGACACAAACTTCAATGATTGGTTAGGAGAATGGTGGGAAGTATGTGATAAAGCTCCGAATTCAGAGGAGCTGAGTGTTTCATGTGATGCAAACCCACTGGAGATTATCTCCAGCTATTTGTCCTCAGAAGCTCCTGACAAAGAAGGTGGCATTCTCAGCAACAGAGGCATCAATTTGCCTCGGACAGATTGCAGTGGTGCTAAAACGGTGGTGGATAGTGATTTCAAAGACGGCACAAAGGTTGCTAATGCAAAAGTAGTGGAAAATGAATGTTCAGACTGCATAAAGGCTCTCAGTACTGGTGACAAGAAGGGCTACGGCGAAGTAGCTGATGTCCCCGATGAGAAGGAAAGCAGAGCTCGACCTCTCCAAGAAAATTCGAAATCCAGGCATCATGGGTGCCTTCCGTCAATTGATCAAGAAGATTTAGAGTCTGCAGTCAGAAGAATTTATCGTGACTCATCCCTAGATCCCGAGAAGAAATCTCGCATGAGCCAGAACCTGTTGATGAGGTCAGTATCAATCTTTTTGAACAATCAGATAGTTGCTTATTTTCCCTCCTAGATAGCATACATCTTTTTTAATAAAGTAGTTGCCTATGTACAAAGGAAACAAGCACATAATTATAGCAACGTAAGAGTTGGTTTCTAACTTCAACAAGAGTATGGGATATGATTAAATTTTAACTGTCTCCACCCCTCATGAATTTATAGAAGGTTCATGATTTTTACTAGCACAAGAATGGTATTTGCATGCAGAAGTTTGCTTGACATCCATACATCTTGGGTTTTCTTTTTTTCTTTTTGTTTATGTTATCTGTACACAATTAATGAATTAACCATTGCGTCCATATTGTTTCAGTCGTTGGCTTATTCAGCAACAGATAGATAATGCAAATGAAGTTCCCTCAACTAACGGGAAAATGCTTCGAGGTCAGTATCCATCCTACAGAGATCCGCTAAAGTTAACCTTTGGTTGTGAACACTATAAGAGGAATTGTAAACTATTTACCGAGTGTTGCAATCAACTGTACCCATGCCTACGTTGCCATGATGAGTTAGCTGATCATTCTGCAGACAGGTATGAACATGTAATCGTTTCTTTTCTTGACTTCTCACCTTAATTTTCGTTCTCATTTCCCCCCCTTATCTTGCATCTATTTCTCGTGCAGACGGGCTATTCAGAAAATGATGTGCATGGTGTGCTTGACTGTCCAACCTATACAGCAGACTTGCACATCTGTCATCTGCAACAATTTGTCTATGGGAAAATACTATTGCCAGATTTGCAAATTGTTTGATGATGAAAGGTATGCAGTTTGGCCTACTCACTGAAACTGGCTTCTGAATTTGAGTATCTGGAAAATTTGGTGAATTATTGCAGCATAATGTGCTCAAGTATCCCTCACATAGGTAACTGGTTTAATTTTGGGAAAATACTGGAGAGCTATATACTGCAATGTGCTCCTATAATGCCATTTCTTGTGACATTGAGTGTAGCTCACCTTTACTTAGGTTCTGTATCAGACCTTAGTGAGGGAAAATGAAAAGTGTGGCATGAGAACTGTATAGTTGCAATGATATATATGGATTTAGATATGTCGAATCTTACATGTAGAATTTGTTCAACAGGGAAATCTACCACTGCCCATTCTGTAACCTCTGCCGTGTAGGAAAGGGTTTAGGGATTGACTACTTCCATTGCATGAGGTGTAACGTCTGCATGTCCAAATCTTTGTCGAACCATGCTTGCAAAGAGAAATGGTTTGAGGATAATTGCCCCATTTGCCACGAGGACATCTTTACATCTAGCACGCCAGTAAAAGCTCTTCCTTGTGGCCATCTTATGCACTCCCCTTGCTTTCAGGTGCTTCAGAGTTACTTCCTTAAAACCATTCAAATTGATCCCGTTAACATACTTTTGGAATCCTACTGATGCTTCTTAACCTGATTTTAGGACTACACTTGTAATCAATATATATGCCCAATATGTAGCAAGTCACTTGGTGACATGAAGGTTAGTAAAGTTTCTCTTCATTTCCTTCTTCTAAAGCATTTCAGCCATATAGGAGATTGAAGTATTAGGTCGTGATTGGCATGCTTGTTCAAACACCATTTTCGGACCAAACTTTGGCCCCTGGCCATGCTTAAACTTTTAGCTTATGTCTTGTAGACTAGGATCCTTTGTATCAAAACCAAAGTCTTAACATAATAGGATTGTTAGGATGAAGGAATGTTAGTACTAAACCTATTACTAGTGGTACTAATACTATATCAATGACTGCAACACACATCTGCTAGATATGCCTGCAGTAAACTCAATAACTTTGACACAATAAATGTCCTTGCAACAGCCAATTTGTCAGATGCTAGGGATCGGTTTTAAGTCCATACTGATACAAACTTTACAAGGAAATCACAGGCTCATATTGTGGAAATATCCTGTTCACTGTAGTACAATTTAGTCGACACATTGATCTATGTATCCTGATTGTCCAATAAAAGATCCTATCTTCCTGCGAGTTTTCTCACAGTGCAATTTCTAAGGACTAGTTAAACTTGGACTGTCAGAAATTCAGGCTCATCCCTCATCTGGTTCTGTCTTCATCTGGTTGCTTTTATTATTGCTTTCTAAAATAACTTGGTTTGTCCTGTCGCATATTTCATTCCCGATAGCTTCCTTTCCTTTTCATTTGTTTTCTCTTTTGTTTATCGTCTCATTCAAAGGTTGCTCTTGAAAATCCTTTAAGATGGTGAAAGTATTTCTCAGGTGTACTTTAAGATGCTGGATGCCCTTTTGGCTGAAGAGAGAATGCCAGAGGAATATGCAAGCCGAACTCAGGTTTATAAAGATCATCTTGTCCTGCACTTGTTCGCATACCCTCTTTGCTGGCTGTTCCCTGTTGTTTATGCTGATCATCAATCATTTGCAGGCCATCCTTTGCAATGATTGTGAGAAGAAAGGAGCTGCACGCTTCCACTGGCTTCATCACAAATGCCCGAATTGTGGGTCATACAACACCCGGCTCCTGTAATGCCTGCTCTGTCGTGCGAGTGACCATCATCTTTTCATCTCAGAGGTGCTGCGATTTAAACACAGAGGTCTGACCTTGCACATAATTCTCGTTTGTCTGCCACTTGATCTTGACAAAATAACAAGAATGCACAAAGCCGATAGCTTCCTGTGTAAAAAAAAAAAAAGTGCTAAGGTTTTGCTGTTAGATGCATTGTAATAAGTGTGCTTGTTAGATTCAATTCCCATTATTAGTCTTCCCATGTGGGTATGGCTATACTCTTCCACTTTTCTATTGTACACTATCCATCATGATAGAAATGGAACGACATTTTGACTGTCTATTTTCCAGACATAAGACTCACTTTGCTTTTCATCCCGATTCAAGTATTTAACCATCAGTAAATTAGTCTGCATGCTTTATAGATGCTGATGCTGAACCTTAGCTAGTATTTTTGAAATACGAATGTTGAAAGGACAACCATTTGTCGAAGGTCACACAATTATAATCAGCCAGAATGCTTCAGGTGGCCTCGACTGAAAGTCACAACTCACAACTGGCTTTATTTGTAACAGCCTTTTGATACTTCTCTAGCGCCGTTGTTGCATGATGCAAGTTTTTTGTGGTATTCGATTCAAGTCTGCTAGGCTTGTGCATTATGTGATGAACTAGATAGAGTCCAAACACATTCGAGTTTAGGAAATCATTCTGCATCCTAGTACGTACTTGGAAGAGTTGTATCCAGTATAAAATCTGCAGTTCGCACCAAGGATGTCGTTAATAGGTGGAGAAATGGCAGTAGTTCAAGAACCAGTCAGACATTCTGCATTTTGTAATCGGCAATTGTAATTAGTTCTTGAAGAAGGTACTAGGGTTGGCAAAGTAGTGAAACAGTATTCCTTGGGAGGTAATCTTATTTCTCTTCATAATGTATGGACTAACTATGAATGCATTCATTGTTCAATAATCAAAACTTCTAAAGCACGATTACAGATGTCCAAGAAATAACGAAAGAATCTACAATCTGTCGAACCTCGAAAAGATATTAGAAACGAAACCCCTCAAGATTGTCAAAAGATGTACCCAATTGAAAACAATGCGTGATTTGACGATGGAGAAAAGAACTGAATGAGAACTTGAAACCAAGATTATCGAGAAACTATATTCTGCACCAAGGCTTCATCTGCATGCTCTATAGATTCTTGTTTTTTTTTTTACTTATCTGAATGATTATATCAGTTGACACTTGTGAGACTGAAGCATGCCGCAGCGCTCTTCAGCTCGTCCTCTGCCACTACGTGTTGCTCAAGGGACTGTGTAGTGTCCTTGAGAGACTCTTCCGAGCTGGAAAACACACAGATTTCAGTTTCATTTCTTAACCACGTATAGGGTAACAAACCTTGTATCAGAAGCAGCATATAGATGAATTTACCTTGTATCATAAGCCTCTTTAGAATCAATATACGATTGTCTGTCATCGATGGTGTCGAAAAACGGATGCATCTCATCATAGTCCTGCACAACTTCTTCCTGGATACCACCTAGTGGCTGTGCTGCTAACAACTGGGACTGAAGAGCACCCATGGAGGATGAGGAATTGGTGACGGCATTATTATTGTTGTTCATACCATAGGTATGCTGAAGCCAGAATGAATTGACTGCTGCTACATTATTATTATTGTTGTTATTATCGTCCTTGGTAGCATCAAAGTAACCGGTGTTGTATCCTCCCACAGGGTTGCTGCTAATGGGGTAGGACAACTGCTGCTGCTGATCGGGAGTCACCGGAGACGGCAACTGAGCCATCACCCCGGCCGCAGCATAAGGCTGCTGTGCAGGGTTGTGCCCGAATAGCGTGAGGGCTGCATTGTTGTTGTTACTTGCAGGAGGGGCCATCCCCAATTCCAACTGCGATGAAGGCACCATGTCCTCTGCAGCCGTGCCAGCATCGAGGCCGTGGTGGTGGTGGTGATGCTGACGATACATGTTGAGCTGGGCGTGAATGGCATGGAGCTCCTCCTCGGCCTGGCGGATCTGGTACTGGAGGCGGCAGATGTAGCCGTAGCAACCCTGAACGGGGTAGAGGTCGCGGATGTTGGCCTGCCATATGATGGAGTGCATCGCCTCCTGCCTCTGGGGACCGTCCAGCTTCTCCAGTATCTTGACGATGTTCCTCACGCCGAACAGCTTGTGCGCGTTGCGGAACATCTCCGGCTTGTTTGCCGGGAAGTAGGGGGCTAGCTGACACTCAGACGTGCACTTCCGCCGCTGGTACTTGCACGCTGCGCAGGCGTGGCTTGTGCCACCCTTCAACGTCATGGCTCTTGCTTTCGCATCAACCCCTCCTTCAAAACAAGGTACCTTTCTTTCTTCTTCTTCTTCTGTCTTCTTTCTGGTTACGATGGAATGTGAAAAGAGAAATGTGGGAGTGGATTGGCGTGACTTAGATTTGGTTAGGGTTTTCTTGATGTGTTTTGTTTGTTGGTGATGGTGATTGGGTAGTTTGGGGAATGTGAGAAAGAAAGCAGTTTTGGGGGAAGGGGGTGCTGAACGAGTCTCTGATAGTGGGAGCGGATTTGGTGGAGGTGAAACAGAGACTGAGTAAAAACTGAAACTTTGAAATTTGGAAACAGAGAGAAAGATAGAACTAAAAAGCTCCGATTTTGAAGGGACGTTTGTTACAAAACACAACAGTCTTATTTTTCTTTACTTCCGGGGAAGGAGGGAAACTAAACTATACACAGGGCGTATGATTGGGATTTGGCTACGTAGGCTGATAAGGGTAGGCTTTTGTTTCTCCTCTTCACTTCGTTTCTCCTTCTTTTCAATTTCATTTTTTTTTATCTTTATTATTATTTTTGAAGTGGGTTACATTTACTCTTTTTCACCATCTACTCCTATGATTTCGCATTTAACGTTGATTGTTGTTAAATGACAGCCATCGAATTGATGGGGAATTATATTATTTTACTTTGTTGGTTTTCTTCTCAGAATCGAATTCCATGTTGCTGACCTGCTGAGTGTTGTGACAGTTTTGGTGCTTCTGCTGCCTTTTGGACTATAGGGTTGCCACTTGCTCGACATATAGCAATAGAGCTGTTGTATTTTGGCTTCTCATTTGAGTTGTTTACCACGTAACATTTTAATTTTATAGACCAAATACAATTAATTAAGATAAGCATTCTAAGTTGAAAGATAATCAATGTCCACCTTCCAAATATTCAACATAAATAATACATCAAGTCCTTCCAAATATTCATTAAATACAAATGGTTTAAGTTCAAACTAACATGAGAAAGGTAACCAATGTCTAAATTCCAAGGATAACTTGTAGAAACTCTAAAGGTCTTCACTCTTGGACAATTGAGACCTTTGAATTTGAAAATAGTACAATAAACATGAAACAATGATGGTTAGTGATTAATAAGTATAGAGCTAATTACAAGTAACCAAGTAGAATAAAATCATTATTTCTTACCTCTAAAGTCATCAATCATGCATAGAGACATCAGAATTATCACCACAAGCGCTACTAGATGCATTGCTTTCGTTCCTCCTCCCACTCTCAACATTGGAAGCCGAGGTAGATGAAACAAGATTATCTCTTATAGAGATAACATTCATCAACTTGTTTAATTCTATATGATTAAATAGACTCAAAATTAGTCATGCACATACAAATTAATCATGTTGTAAATATGTAATTCTAGATTTGAGACTTTACCTTCATTAATTTTCTCAACCTCTTCAGGATCCTCCTCGGCTGATGGTAGTGCAGAATCACCCAATCCGAGCTACAAATTAAGGCCTCCACTATCTTAGGAGTCAATAAACTTTTGAAATCATCTAGAATCCTCCCACCAGCGCTAAAGGCAGATTTAGATTCAACGATATAGATTGGGACCGCTAAAACATCCTTAGCCATCATGGAAAGGGTTGGAAACCTCAAACTGTTAACCTTCCACCAACCAAGTACATCAAACTTGAGCACCATTGGCTCGTCTTCCTCACGAAGTTATTTCTCAAACTCGGATTTGTTTACCACCCCTACAATTTGCTCTCTATGCTTTTTGTATTCAGCAAGTACATCAAGCTCATCCTCATCACCCTCCTCCACAATTGGGGCCAAAGAAGTAGAGGCATTCTTGGATTGTTTCGACTTCCAAAGGTGTTCATAGTGAGCAAATAGATCAAATGTAGCCTTCTTCACATCCCCCGCTGTACGTGATCAAATGTAGTCAACAAAACCCAACATGTACCTCAGATCCATTACAGTGACGATGTAAAGTAGCTTGTTCATTTTATCCACATCTCCCCAATACTTCTCGTGCTTCATCTTCATCTTGCTAGCCATGACACTCAACTTCCGTCTCCCACTTGTTTATCAAATCATATAGGGAATGCACTTCTTGTAAGAACAAGTTAGAAGTGGTATATTTTGAGCCCGAGATCTTCAAGGTGAAGTTGAAGAACCGACCAAGAAATCCCATCACTCTCCTTGCATTCTCCCAATCATCCTTCTCAGGGACCCCAATTATGCCATGTATATCCTTCTTGCTTTCCAAATCCTTTCGAAAATGTTCATCATACATGTCAAACATCATGAAGACCTCTTCAAACCTCTCAGCAGCCTGCAACATCAAGAATGTCGAGTTCCATCTAGTAGGAACATCAAGACACAAGCCACGTTTGCCTTCTACCTTTTGAACAGTAGCAAACTCCCAAAAAAAATTCAACCTTTCTGGTGAATTTCTAATAAACCTCACTGCTTCTCTAATTCTCTTCACCGACAAGGAAATATCTCCAAGCCCATCAGACACAACCAAATTTAAAGTGTGAGCTACACATCTCATGTGAAGGAATTCTTTGTCACATATACTAGTCCCTCTAGCATTAAAATGTTCCTTCAATTTGGTCACAACTGTATCATTAGAGCTAGCATTATCCACAATAATTGTGAATACCTTCTCAATTCCCCAATCATCCAACAAGCAATAATTCCATCAGTAATATCTACACTTTTATGACCTTTAAGTGAGCAGTTAAGCACATAAAGATATCTTGCTTATCGAAGTCCATGCATCGGTAGTCCAACAAATTCTTCCTTCAAAACTTTGAAAATACTTTTCAACTTGTCTTTCATTTCGCTATATGACACGCTACGACACAACACCTAACAATGGCCAAGTGTAACCAATGAAAGGGACTGCAATATAGTGGCACAAGTAATAAATATCGAATCCACGGGTCTCTAGAGTTACTATTACTCAGCTTCAGTTCATTATCTAGCAAACTAGATTAATGATTGATTTACTAAACTACTCTACTAACTACTCTACTAATTACAAGTTGGGAACTCACTTAGGTATGATTCCCCCTAGCTCCTCAATTAGGTCCAAGTTGCAATTACCTTTGGTTGATCTACTGTTGATTAAACTGCGGAAGATCCTAAATTAGCTTGGAATCTCTTAAGCTGACCAAGCCCTCTTAGACTGAATACCCGGTAGGCGACTAGCCTTCACCGGGATAGACTGCTAAGGCGATTCACACAGTTCTCCACTACTGGAATGAATTCCAGTACAAAGCAGTGAATTGATTGACTCTCGCACAACCAATTCCCCACTATCAATCAAGGGAGCTCTCTTAACCTAATCAGATTCTATCCATCATAGGTTAAAGCAGAAATCAAGAGAAGATGATCAGGCTTCAATTGACTCTATAAATCATACCTCAATCGATTATAATCAAACAATATAGCATCCAAAACTTCATACAAGAAAGATCCTAACACATGGAACTAGAGTTCCTCAAAACCTAAGTGAAGGAAAGTTACTCCATAGAGAAGAGAGAGACTGCAAAAATCTGATCTAGATCTTGAATCTCCATCTCCAAGCTTGATTCCCGAGCTCCAATGGTGAAGAAATCCTCCAAAATAGCTCCAAGGATGGTTCTAGATCACCCTCTCTCTCTTTAGTTCGTCCCTTGGGTGTTTGGGATCCAAAACCCAGCTCTCCCTCTCATTTGGCTCGAAATTGGCTTAAAACCAGAAATTCCCGACTCACACGGCCAGGCCACACGGCCGTGTGACTTTCCCAGCTGCCCGTGTGAGTGTCCAAACGCGACGTTTCGATTAGTGGGCAACCAGGCAAGCTGCACGGGCAGAGGCCACACGGCCGTGTGGCTCCCCAGGCTGCTCGTGTGGCTTTTACCGAGCCTTCACACGGCCACAAGGGGCCCCTACACGACCGTGTGAGGTGCAATGGTGCCCGTGTGACTTCTCAGCTTCTCGCCAAACGTCGAAACTTCGTCCAATCGATCCCGAACTCGTTCCCAAACCTTCATTCACGTACTAGGACCTGAAATATCACAAACAAGCACAACCTAGCGTGGAATCAGCCTAAAACACGAGAATCAACATCTCAAACGGCTCAAGAATAGGGGTAAAAACATGTGTAATTAACGGTCTATCACTATAGAAGGCAAAGCAATCCATAGTGATTGTTCTCCTAGAAGGAATATTGAACATAGGGCAGCATAGTGACATGAAGTACTTAAACCCCGTCCCATCAAAAAACTTGAACGGTTTTTCATCAACAATGAGCATGTAAGCTAAACCCTTTCTAGTAGCTTCTTGATCAAACTTCCAGTTCGTTAAAGTACCTTCACCTTCTACCCTAGTTTTCCCTAAGTTCAAAAGTTGTTGAGTAGTACCTTTTTTGTCACCACAACCCTCACAACCCTTTTGCATATGAACATTCATAGCATTGGTAGCATTAAGAAATAGGCCGGCCTCATACTCCTTCTCACACTTCATACACCTTGACATCTTGTATTCATCCGGGGCATTGACTTTGTGAATTGAGTCCCACACACCGCTCTTGACTTCATCTCCTTTCTTTTTAGTTTTAGCGATTTTTGGTAGTAGAGCCAGGAGCAGACAACAGCTTCATCCATAGGAGGATCACCACCGGTCAATGAATCCTCTTCCTACGCCATCAATAAACAGAAGAGGCAGTAGCATTAGCCATTAAGCAACATAAAAATTCCAAATTCCAAATCCTTAATCCACACGCCTAAATTAAACCAACAAAACAGTTTGCTATATCCTAAATTACAAACCAACGAATTACTTGCTATTCAACCATTCTGCCTTCTGGACACACTTGATATTAAACAAATAGCAATCTCAAGTTCAAATAGAAATCTCAAATAGCAAACTAAAATAGCAATCTCAAATAGCAAACTGAAATAGCAATCTCAAGTTATGGAATATTAAGAACCTACCAACACATGGACGTCCACGTCCTCGTTTGGAATCTGTTGACCTTCCGCGTCGGCGTTGGTGGAGTTGCTGGTGGTTTTCTTTGGCCTTCAACTGGTGGTCATGTTTCTAGGCGGCGGGTGGTGGTTGTCAGTGCACGGCGGGAGAGTCTGTGGGTGGGAGTGGGAGGGATGCGACGAGTGGCGTGGCGGACTGCGGTGGTAGACAGGGAATGAGAGAGATGGAGGGACTCAGGGAGCGGTTGCGAGAGAAATCGGCCGTCGGGACGGGGTCGGGTCGGGGGATGCCAAGATGGCCGACGTGACATAGCAGTCGTGGTCGCAGCAGTCACCGCATCGCCTCTCTACCGGCTGCTGCTTCGACAGTGTTGTTCGAGTTCGACAATCGAATCAACAGTCACTAGCCTTAGGGGTTTTCGGTTGTGAAACGAAATGACTCACACGAAACTACACCGCGAATTAATCCCGACTAGAGCCCAAGTTTTTAACTCTAGCCGGGTGCAGTATAGGGCAAACATTTAGAATGCGGACCCGGGCCGGTCCATGTACCCCTACTTCAATCGCTTAGGTTGTTATCTAACAAACGATTTTTGGGTTTAAATCTAAGAGCTAAAAAAACTACAAACTAAACAAACAAGCAAGGAAAGTAGATCGAGGATAATTATATACGAGAGGACTTCACTTGGGTATTGCTTCCCCTAGTCTTGTATTAAGAAATCATGAACGAAACTCTATTGTGAAGGATGTGTTCCTATACCATGAGGTGGGTGCATCTAGCTAGGGGCGAACTCTCCTAGTCGATCGATTAAGGGTTGTGACACGAAGCTAGGGAATTTAGCTCTCTTAACCGATCAACCGAGGAAACCCAAACTCCCTTAGTTGACCAATTTAGGATTGTTGCATTAAGTTGCCGGTCTAACTCTCTTAACCTTTCGGTTGAGGATTGCAACTCTAGGCTAGACGATCTAGCCCCTCTAAACCGGTTGACTAAGACTTGCAAACCAATCCCTCGGAACTTAATCCGGATGGCGGAGAGACCAATCACGTTGGAATCAAGGTGCTACTCCAATACTTGAGGTTTTGGCCCTAGATTAACATAGAAAGGGTTACCCGAGTGGGTAGGAGGCAGCATTTTAGATTACCCCTGTCCTTTTTTCATAACTTAAATATATAAGTATCTAATAAAAGAATTATTTAATAAAAATATTTAAAAATAATTATATCCGAATAATTCATTCATAAATTAAAAATAACCGATTATACAATCATACTTTTCAGAAAAAACTACGAAGGAATTTCATATAGTGAAAGAAACGCAAAAGCATTCGTTGTCTACACTATTATATAAGTCTCTTTAAATGTGTCTTACTAAATAAGTATTAGCAAACTGGTTGCCAAATCGACTTGGAAACTTGTTCTTAATATAACTCAAAGCTGAAAATGCTCTTTTTACACTTGCAGTTGTAATTGGTAGATCAAAATTAGTGAGATTGCCGTTGTCGCTAGACAATTTCAGGATTGTTAGGGAAAAGATCGAATAGGCATAAGGAGAAAAGAGACCCAATTAGGTCTTTATTGCAATTGGAATTTCATTTATAGTATAATAATTTAATTTTATGTCAAGTTTGGACAAGTAATGAGTTGTATTGTAGTAACAAAGTACTCTAATACTACCTATAGTGTTGTGTTCCATCACCAATATAAATATATATAACGTATTTTTGTTCTACCGAAATTTACCTCTGTCCCGGGACAAGGCCCAAAGGGCCTGCCTCCGCCACTGATATAATATTTTTTGTTGTTTTGAAAATGGACTCCAAGAATGCAGCCAATCCAACAAAAGAACAATTTGTAGATTCAGATGCGATTCTTAGACGTGTTGCACACAAGTTTCTCACTGGTTGGGCTATGCTTCCGTTAAATCTATCCTAGTTCGAAACTCACCTCCCTCGTTTTGCCAAAAAAATTCTCTGTTGATCAAAAAAATTTCTCTGTTGATAAGTGGTGAACATCTCCCATAAATTCAAATTATTGGGATCAGCTGATTTTTGACATGGTATCAGCGTCGTCTTC